TAATATTGATCGGTTCATGAATCTGATGAAAATCAACTATTTTCACAACCCTATACTTACAGCTATCAAAGTCTTTGAACACCCATTATTTGGTAAGCGTTGTTAGCACATTCTGAAATGTTGATGTATTTGTCTTCCTTCTCAATCCTGTTGCTTAGTAACATGCACTGCTAAGAACGTCATAGTCTATTTTAAGACGAATAAAACCATATAGTCATAACAAGTTATTTAAATATAAATACTGGGTTGTTTGTCTAAGTCGACTGTTAGCTGTAGAATTGTTCATGTACCAGTAGGATGCTTAATAACTTGAATGCTTTAATAGTCCGAAATTAATTCAAGCTCTCTGTATTCATAGAGCTCAACAATAAAAGATTTGATCTGAATTTGATAACAAATGTTTTGATTTTTCTTCTGATACTTGTAAAATCCGATTCAGACAACTGAATTCTCACTCATTGGCTAAAAAGCGATGACAGTAAAGCCCTCTAGTAAAGAATTAATAAAGAGCAATCTGATTCGTTTCTCTAAATAATTTCAAATGTTTTACAAATTAATATGAATAATATTATGGATAGTCAGTGCTTTATTCACTTTTGATCAAATGCACCTAGTATGTTGTAACAGAAGAAATAATCTAGGATTAGTGTAGGCGATGATGATTACTAACAAATCCAGATTATTGATTGGATGGATATTAAAAGGCTAAAAGTTGATTAAAACACAGATATATAAACAAAAAATATTCCTTTGAGTAGATTTTCTTCAGGTTCTACGATTATACGTTCAAATTAATAATAAAAGGGACTAATAACTATAGAATGGGATAAAAATTATTTTAAAAAATATTCTATATTCATATATCTATGTTTTAATATAACTGGAGGATTGAAACGATTTTATAGCAGTAAAATCACATACTTATACACAAAGTATTTTGCACAAAATAAGCAGAAATAAAGGTATATTATTGCAATCATCTCATTTCGTACGCTAATCATCAGTTTGTAAATTTGAGAATTAATTATCACGTTTATATATTGTCTGACATATTATAACGCAAAGAGTAATTTACGTGATAATCCCATAATTTTATAGACTATTTTTTGTACAAAGGTATTAATGGACTCAATTAGAATTTTATCTAAACAGAAGAATTTTGACGGAAAATTATCCAAATTTTGTATGACTAATAATCTAATGGTAGTATATATTCGTATACTCATATTCGGACTTAACTCTATATTCTATGGCTATAGAAACTAATGGAAAACATGAAACAAAGTCAAAAACACTAATTAAAGTTTGATTGCTTTTACCATTAAGCAAATGCCTTGATAAGATTCAGTGTAGTGTAATCCGATAAACTAGTGGTAAGAAACCTATGGATAATATATGTTTTTTAAAAGTTTCAAATATAAGGTGTTGTTATTTAATAAACCAATAACGTAATATGTGTAGAAAGAAAGCATGATTCAAGTAACTGACTAATTTTACTTATTACATTCTTTTCATTTTAGTTTGATATGACCCAGACACTTTAACATGGTAATTCTATGTATACAGCTACTTATGTAAGTACACGGAGATATAATTCTGAAGAATTCAGTTGAACTTCAATTACCTGAATATATACAAATTTATTTGTGATAATGGCTCTCTAAAAAAGTGTTTTTCAACTTAAAAAATAATATAGAACGAAAAGACTAAGTTCATATCACAGCATGATGAACAGGCTTGAAACAATTTAAAAAAGAACTAACTATATCACATGAACTAGATATGATGATGAATTCTGAAAATTTCGGTTCACTATTTAATTGTCTCACCAATCCCCAATACTTATACATTTTGAACTTGGTTGTAGTACAAAACTAATCACAAATTCAAACACACAAACCTATACAAATACATTTTATCTTAAAAGAGGAAAGAACTTTCAGTTTCATTAAAGGGACATTGTATTTGAAATTGTGTTCTTGAATTTCTCCCATATCATATTACATGTTTGCATGAATGATTTGTTATGAAGGTTAGTTCAGTGATAGTTCCTAAAGCTATGTTGTATGTGCATACGTTTCCTGAAACAAGCAGTCTCATATATATGAAAATTCCTGTAAATACGTTTCAAAATATATTTTAAAAAAAACTGAAAGATATAAGACGAACTTATATTCACTTACAATACAAAATTTGATCGTATTTTCTTCAGGTAAACTTGTATGGGAACAGACTGAACAGTTTCACCAAAAAAAACAACAACAATAAAATCTGAAGTTGAAGATGTTTATCAAATTAATGCTGTTTGTAATTCACTTAAAAATAGGATATTTAAGTGGTTATAAGTGACGTGAGTGAACTAACACGAAGCATAGGTCTAGAAGTTCTTGGTAATCTCGTTTAATCAACTAACACCTCAACATAGTAGATACCATGTCAAGTCACTTATACGAGTGACCATTCAGCAACTTAATCGACAGAATCCGAACTGCAATAAAAGGCTAGGGAATTGTCATTACTTAGTGATCAATCACTTGTGTAAACTTTCGTACTCGGACTTAAATTATATTGTTTGTATAAGAATTCCTGTTACTAATTGACCTGCCGAAATGAAGCGTATAAATTCTTTGATGAAGAAATAAGATGTCTCTTAATCAATCTGTACTTCTTTTACATCCTGAAAGCGAAGTACCACATTCTTTGCTTAAAACACGAGCAATTTAATGACAATATAAAAGAATAACACTAATCTTTGTTTGTTAGAAACTTTCGACAACTAATGTAGTTATCTGCTTAAAAAATGAAATATGGGATGAAGTGAAAATGTGTAAACTAGGAGGTTATATATAAATTTTGATTTGTTTAGTGAAATCCATGGCTTTGATATAAATTATGTCAGATGATTTGAAACTAAGAAGATATTGAATAGTTTACAGAAATGTAATGTATCAAATAAACTGTCATAAGTGAATAGGTTAGTTCGATTGAAAAGTATGATAAGTGAATATCTGACAGAAATGTGAAAACTAATCTATTACTTGAGAAATTGAAAAAAGAAGTGTTTTAAATTCAATGTTACCTTTTATATTCTGACTTATACACGATCTGTTATCGCTTATACAGTTTTAAGTTGCAATGACATTTTCAAAATAAACGTTGTAAATCAAAATTAGAATCAAAAGGAAATTGAAAGTGGTATAGATAATTTTTATGTTTTGTCAGATTGTCCAACTTAAACTAATTGTTTCGACAAATAAATTTCTTTACATTTCACATTTTACAGGTAAAGATGAAATATAACTCTTTGTGATGAACCTGAGCACAATGCAATGGAAACTTTAAAAGTATACTTCATTTTTTTATTCAGAATTAATTAGGCTTGGAAGCACCAAAAAATATTTTTAGATAAAGTAATAAAATTTATGTGAACAAGTGTTTTACGATAGTATGATTTTCTTATCCCTCACATAATACAAAAATGCATGTAAGTTTCTATATTAGAAGCTTAAATTAATCCATTTTTTCTGAATAGAAACCCTGTGAACCAGAGAAGTCAACAGGAAACCAAATGTACTATAATGAGTTATCTTATTGGATCTAAGTGAACTATGAAACTTTTTGATCTTCATTTTCGGTATTCATTGAAGATTCGTAGATTAGCTTGATAAAGTGTAACTTGAAAGAAACTAGATTTTTTTTCGTGTCTAAGCACACAGCATTGAATGGAACAATTACTATTAACTTAATCCTACAAAATTATTATGAAGTTAAATATTCTTTCCTAACGGAAAATTATTTTTTTAGTTATTAAGCAGATTCAGCGATTTGCTTATAAGTGTTACTTGCAGTGTTAGACTGGTCCTGAAATATGTGCCATTTTCATGTCGGCTCAGCAACAACCAGTTGTCAAAAGTTTTCACTGATCTAATTAATTTTAGATGTTGATATTATCCAACAGAATGATTAGTCATAAGCATGGATAAACTTTAATAATAATTTCGAACCACTAGTGTCTATCGGTAAAAAGTATTCACGATAACTCCTACCATTTTTATTGGTTTATAGTCATTTTGGAAAAATATGGTTTTATTTGGAGATCAGTCAGTTCGCATAAACTAATTTGTCAGACACTTTTCTAAATTTAAGAACCGAAACTAGTAGTATCAAAGAATAAAAAGCTAGATGTATCAAGTTGGAATTACCAGTTCTAATAGTATTGTTTATATTAACATATCACAAAAATATAACAAATTATCATGGTAACTAAGACAGTCTGTAGTAAAGAAATGGTGGAAACTCAGTAATCAACCAGTGTATATTCATCTTTTCGTGCTTCCAAGTTAGTTTCCCATAAAAATTTACTCTATTGAATAGCTTCTTTGATTGAAAGATCAAAGTACACTGAAAATGTTTTACTTGCATGTAAAATTTTATCGGTGATTATGAAATCCAAAATTGATCGAATTCTTCACAAAAGAGCAACTCGATGACTTCAAACTTTATGGTACAATTATGTAACAATGTTGTATGTGCGTAAAAAGTAATTGATTTAATACTTGGTATTGGAAATTTGTGAATCAGCCGACATAAGTAGGAATGCGAAGGACTCAGATACAGATTTATTAGACATCAAAAATAAATAATAATAATGTCTGAACACATTAATTTTGTATGACTTATTTATAGTCAGATTAACAGTCGGACTTTTATAAGTCGAAACCAGTAATATATAGCACATGACTGAAAAATAATTCGCTAACAATAATGAATAAAACTAATCCTTTTCTTCTCATTTCACTCATATCAACAATTAAAAAAAGAATTCAACGAATCTTAACATTTACATTGTAATTATTGCTTGTATTACTCATATTGTAAAAAAGTACATGCAGTCATAGTTAAGCAATAAAAACCATATTCTAGAAATAACCATAGAAATCAGTTATTAAAAAAATATATATTTCTATTACATTTTCGTGATTTTACAGGCATATAAGAAATTATTTACTAAGTGGACTTATAACTGAGCTACCTACATTTGATGACATTGGAATTGATCTATGACTGTGAAACACACCCAAAGGTAATTGCATAGCTAAATTATCTAGTTTTAAACGTCCTAATGGATCATCACGTTTAAATAATACTTCTAAAAATGGTCGTGAAAATGTAAAACTAACAATAATATAAAGACTTTGTAAAGCTATAAAAATTCCGTAGAATTGCCATACAATAGTATGACATATATAATTTGATATGAATGCAAGTATCCATAAGAAGGTATGACTTATCGCCATTTTGCTAAACATTCGAAAACGTGCTTTCACATCCACTGATTGTGATGAAAAATGAGCTTGTATAAGACAATTTGTATCAGTTTTAATTGATATTAAAATAATAAGAACAATAGATGCAAAACATAAAAAAGCAACTGGTATATGCATTAACCATTGGTAAGCAGTTAAACAACCACCTAGATTGCCGCATGTAATAATTCCATAAGCAGGATTCCATATGCTATTCAAATTTAAATAATATGAAGCCCAAATTCCATAGGTTGTTGGAAAAATTGGTAAAAAAACAATACTACTTATTACAATGAAATTCCGCATACGATTATTATGCATCCTTACATCATTATTAATGACACGTGGAATTATATTGCTCTGATGACTGGAATATCCATCTTTCAGTGCTACAAATCTTGTTTTTCTTTCTTGATCTTTCTTAATTCGCTCTAATGACCGAACTGTTTTGAATTTAGCTTCTGGTTGGGTTATAACACATTGAAATTTTCTAACAAAATTGCCCTTTGGAACACCAGTTATTGCACATGAATTAGTAAACCAATCATTATACTTTGTTTTTTGACAAGATGTACTTGGACATTTCTGTTTTTTCCACAAACAGTGAGGCGATTTGAAATTCCATGATTTTGTTTTGATGGATGAATGCTTGTAACAATGATTCAATTGTAAATGGTGTTCAAATAAACCGAAAAATATTCCAAGATATATAGACAGAATAAGATAATGTGTTAGGAAATCCATGAATCGGCAGTTAAAAAACATATTTTCTCTAGTAAAATAAGTTACTTCTTTATTAGTCATATTGAAACTAATTGTTGATGGCATGTATGCACTAAAAAATAAGACTCCATTGTGTAGTGAATTGAATAAAATGATAAGCGACAAACAATTCCCATAAAGTCTTCTCAAACTTTTATTAACAGAGAACACCATGATAAAGTGAGCGAACATAGTAATTGAAGCTACTGCCATACTTATATGTGCAACTGTTGATTGACTACGTAATATTGGACAATAAGAGTTAATTGATCTCGAATATGTTTCATTTAAATAAGTAATTTCAATTGTATCCCCATGAATCATAACGCTGTCTTCATGTATGGAATTAGTTGCATTATAGTACGTAATATTCTCCAATTTTGTAAAATTATTATTAATTGGTCTATAGTGATAATCGAAACAATCGTAAATTATTTCTGAAACACTTCTTGGAAATCCAATAAAGTTAGATGAATCAGGCTTATCAATTGCCATTTTTGTCAAAACAAGAAAATATTTTTTTCACAATTCACTACATAACTTCTTCTGAATTAATATATTATGCCTTGTTTTTAAATAAATAGTTTCAATCTGTTATTGATATGAATAGATACTGTCATAATACTGATGACTATCAAAAAACAATTTTATATATATATTTATATATAAATTTGAATATATCTATTAAAGTTACAAAACAATTAATTTAACGATGGAATATATACAAACAAACGTTTAAAAATACTTAATCCTAATTGTCAGTAAAAACTAAGGATATGATTGGTTAAATAAGTTTACATACAAGTGAACATTGTTTTCAGCTTTTAATCAATAGTAAAAAGTAAATGATTTTTTACTTTTATGAAAATTAACTTGAACATGAACTAATTAATTAATGATGGTGAAGATAGTTAATAAAAAATTCAGAATAAATGAGTTAGATCATTCAAATGTTTTATAAATGTGGTTTTCATGTTACGAACACACCGTATATATATCCCCCCGGGGGCTACTGCCGGTCCCAAGCACGGATAAAGGAGGAGAGTTGGACATGGGTTTAGCGACCCCATCCCGTAGAAAACTAACTCGCTAAAAAACGCTAACCAGAAATATATCACGATCAGCCTATCAGTAGGTTTAGTCCCCAGTCTAAATAAGAAATTTATTTAATTTATCATAATTGAGGCCATAACTTTCCATATATGACTTTCAGAACGATATGTATTCAATTTTTGAACATACTGAGTATTTAATTATGACAGACTTAAATTCTTTTTATTAAGTCATTTCTATTCTAACAAACGCGAGTAGAATAACTTTCATTCCATTTAAATTATGTATTGAAATACATAAGGAATGGATAGATTCATATTAAGAAATAACAGTTCTCAAAGAATTTATGTAGAAAGTGAAGAATATCACAATTGATGAGTGCATATACTAATTAACTAAATTTTGGCTTACGCCTACTTATAGTAAGGATTAATAATTATTCTTACATAATTTTTTTCATCAGGGATCCAAATACCTCTAATTATTTTAGATATCCAAGATGTTAGTAAAAAATCACTTGACAGTATTTGTCTCCTTATTTACCATATATTTGTTTATACATACTTGTTCTGCTTCACTACCGGTTCATTAATTTACATCTAGGTATGTAAAATTGGGATTTTCAGAATTCATTAAGAAAATGTTATTTATTATCTACATTTTAACTGTACTGGTTTAATAAAACATATATTACAGCCTCCTTTTCTTCAATGTTCATGCTTAGTTTATATTGCGTATAATTACTTCATCAGACGATTCATACTACATCACTGGAAATTTATTGGATTAAGGTAACATACTAATTTTGATATGAATATCAGAAGCAACACATTATTTTTTCTTCATTTCTGTTGAATTTTTATTGAAAAACATATAAACCTAGTTTGCTTAGATTACAAATAATAAGTTTAATAGTAGTGAAAATCAATGAATTGTTCTAAATAGTAAAATGAACCAAATATTCACAAGATCTATAACTCACAAGACATCTTCTGAGTTTTGAACTTACCTGTTTTTGAAATCTAAGTTATTTATATGTAAAACTCAAATAGAATTTAGGTAAAGGCTTTTAAGTAGCAGTTCAGCTGGCCTTCAGCTACTCTACAACTACCTACCATTCTCAGACAACGTGAATGGAACGTTGAAGTAGGTCCTCCAACTCTAGCTGAAGTTCATAAAGTAGCTGGTCCAGATGGATCGGCTCCAGAAGTCTTTAAGAATGGTGATCTAGTTTTAGCGATTTGGTTGACTAATATTTTAGCTAAAATCTGGGAGTTGGACGTAATCCCATCTGACTGGTAACAATCACTTATCGTCCCAATATATAAGAGAGAGTTAAAATCATCCTGTGACAACCAGAGGGATTAGTTTGACTAATATAATATCTAAAATACTAGCTTCGATAATTATCAGACGCCTAACCATGACTCGTGAACTGCAAACACTAGAGACTCAAGCTGGCTTTAGACCTGGTCGTGGGTGCATCGACCACATATTCACCATTCGTCAGATTCTAGAACACAGGCATACTTATCGGCGTCCGACAATGGTGGTCTTTCTCGACTTAAAAGCAGCATTTGACTCGGTAGACCGCGAGATTCTGTGGCAGTGTCTGTCATTGAAAGGCGTACCTCAGAAGTACATAAACCTTGTGAAGGCTCTTTACTCGAACACTACTAGTCGAGTCAGAGCTTATGGCGAACTGTCATCTGCTTTTGCAACCTCAAGTGGTTTCCGTCAAGGCTTTCCGCTTTCTCCATTTTTGTTTGGCTTCATCATGACCTACTGATGGAAATAACACTCTGATAGACTGAATTTTCGAGCATTGGCCTCCTTCCAGGAGGTTCACTTATCGACGTAGAGTACGCAGATGATATAGTCCTGTTTGGTGAAGACACTGATAAAATGCAGAGTCTTTTGATAGCAACAATGCAAGAATGTTCGGGATGTGCTTCTCATACTTTAAATACAAGTTGTTTCTTCAGTATTGACCTGAGTCAACACCTGAACTAAGGATAGGCAGTGAAGTAGTCGAACACGTCGACGACTTGACTTATCTTGTGTGATCTACCCTAATGGGTTAGTGTCTGATGAAATCTCTGAACAGATTTAAAAAGCTGGTTTAGTATTTGCCAACTGACGTCACCTATGACGTAGGCGAGATATCCGTCTATCAATTGAGGGACGGGTATACTGCGCGGCAGTTCGTTCTATCCTACTTTACGGCAGCGAAACGTGGCCATTAAGAGATATTCATAAGCTACTAGTATTTGACCACAGATGCCTTAGAAATATTGCCACCATCTGCTGGGATCACCGGGTAAGTAATAGTGAGGTTAGACGCAGGGTATTAGAGAATGATGGTAAATTAGTTGATGAGGTTGTGGATCTTCGTCGACTGAGATGGTTGGATCACGTGTTACGTATGCCTGAACACCGATTACGACGATGCGCAATGCTGACTAGTGTTGGGGATGGTTGGAAGAAAGTTAGGGGCGGCCAAATTAAAACGTGGCATCAGTGCTTGAAGTCACTAACTTCTGGTCTGAGCGATGTTGGTAGATGCAGACTACTTGGTTGGGGTCCGCGCAACTATCGCAACCAATGGTTGGAGACTCTTGGTGATATGGCTCAGAATCGGTCACAATGGCGTAGGTGTATACACTCTTGTTCTTTCCTTAACTGTGAGATTAAAATCGCTTTATATCTTTCTTTCCACGAACTTATTCTTTCTTCATGTACTATGTCCTTATATGCAATCTTTCTTTTGTATATTAACACCACTGGGTTAACTGCTTCTATGAATTTAGTGTTCATCTTGCTGTGTTAATGAGGTATGGCAACTTGGACGGATGCACATATGTGCCTGGTCCTACATTATAGCTGACTGACTTTCTTATTGAAAATTAATTTTATCTTTGATTGATTTTATTCGTTTCACCAAACTAATTTATCTACAATTTATTCACTAAAACTAAGCAAAACTAATAATTGTATCAATCTACTAAAAACGTACCAAATGATGGCTGTGAGTTGAACATGAAATTAAAAGAATTTTTGTTTTTATAAACCATATTTTCTTACTGTAAAGTAGATACAAATTTCCGAGAGAAATACTTTCAAAAACAAAATATTTATCAAAGACTTATTATATTTCATTACGGAAAAGTAATTATAGTTAACCATTTTATACAAAAAATCATAAAAACAATATATTTTGTATAAATGTCTGATGATATTTAGGTTATATTTACCTAATGTTTTTTGACCTACAGTCTTTTAAATAGAGCTTATCGTTTGGATAGAATGAATACTTGAACTAATTCATCTTCAAAGAAGCTTGTCATAACTAAGAAGAAAATCAATTTTCAATTACAAGTTTATTGATTGTGAGGTAAAGTACACAGAATCCTTATAAACAATTCTTCAATATCTAACTAAGCTAAGAAAAGGTGTATTGAATAAGATGGGATTTTGATTGATTTCTTTTGATAGATCAATAAAATATTTAAAACTATATCTAGAAAAAGAAAAAGGAAAAAGTATTATGTTTGCTTGGATTACTTTTACTTTATATAGTGAGATCAGAATATTTACCTATTTGTTACTTGAGTCATAGTTCCACTAATTATTAGTTATTGGTTAACATACTTCCAAACTTTAAGAAGTAATGAAAGAAAAACATATCTATGAAAATCCATAAACTTAGCATCTTGTTTACAATTTAATTTTCATATTTCGTTTTGTGATTTTTATCTCAAGTAATATATGTGTCATTCATTACATTGTTAACCCTTCTCATTAATTGTGAGCAATTCAAGTAATTTCAAATAACAATTCGACTTTATTTTATGTATTCCATGCAGTAATTAGTTAACTGATATTTTGCGATAAACCAATAATATATTTGATTTCTTAAGAAATTAGAACTCTCTTAAGATTAGATAGAAGAGTTAGGTAGAAAACTGAAGAGATGTTTGTAAATATTTACAAAATAAAAAAATTGCCTGATTTTACGACTTATCAGTTTCATAAGTAGAATGTCTGTTTCCATTATTTCATAATTGATAGTTTTTCGCCAAATATCACTTAGGTTATTATCCTAGTTTTTGATGAAAATTATTGAGCTTAAATATAAATGACTGGAGTCAGTATTCAAATAGGAATCTGTATCCACTAAGCGAAAAAGACCATCTACATAATAAGCAATAAATTGATCTATAGATGGTATAACGTACTCATAAAAATATTGGCTTTCATAAGCTTGATTTTGTTGATCATGTATAATCTAACTCACTGATCATTTTAGTGCCACACAAGCTTAGCATTAGAAATTTTTGTATTCATTACATTTTTTTACTTGTTTTGGTGGTTACTCAGTGAGTGAATTATTTGACTTTCATGAAACTGAAGGATTTGATTCCGCCTCACTTTATTCGGTT